CTCTATTTGTTGTATTAATTTAATGTAGTTGTCTTCTTTAATGGTTGTACCTTTTCCTGTTAGTCAGATTCCCAAGTATTTAACCTTTTTAGTCATCTGCATGTCCGTCTTTTCCATCAGTTCAAATATTGTTTTATTGTTTCTTCTGACATTTTTTCTTGACTAAAGTTTCCTTAAAAAAATCCTGAAAGAGAAAGAGAAGAAAATGATATACAAACTGATAGATGAGAAGGGGACTTTGCATTAACGGAACGAACACAAAAACAACCCAGTTCTGAGGTACTGATGGCTGCCCTCACATTTCGAGTGCTTGGCAGGTGGCCCACATTTGTGGCATTTGCAGTGTCCTGTGGTCATTTGACAGTGAGTTACGAGATTTTTGCTGAAAACTAGCAGTTACTTTCATTTGCCAAAAATGCCCTATAACGAACAATGGGTTTGCTTAATGACCTCAGCATTCGCATAACAACCATAGCAAAAACAAGTTGTAAAATCGGATCGGTCACATGATGGCAGGCTCCAATGCAGTCATAAGTCAAGCACTACCTGTATGTGTATCAGTGGTGGCTTTATTTACCATAGTTTGTGGAACAGTACATCATATCCTGGTTCATGCATAAAGCACCCCACACCCAGAAAGACTTGGAACAAAATGGATGCTATTGTGCCATTCAAAAATATAGATATATGCAGATATTTTCTGTCAAGATATGAGAGGAACTGCCAGAAATATTAGGTGGAACTTTGTAAGCAAGTATGGCTTCCTATGGATTCTTCAGTACAGAAAGCATTCACAAGAAATTTTGTGGTTTTTTTTTTCCTGCATAAGATCATCTTTGGACAATAGCTGTAATATCTGATTTTACCCAATTGTAACAGTCATTCCTATGCCGGTCCAGTTAGATGTAATTTCCACTAGCTGGCGTCATACATTTCATGTAGCCATTAGCTTTAAACTGTGTCTAACTATAATTATTGATGCTAAAAGATATTGGACTAGAATACACACATGGTTGGAAAAAATTATGCTAAATCAAAGGCATACTATGGATTAGTGTGTTACACGAAGCCAACCAATTGTGATTTCCTTAATGTCACATCACTAACAAAAGAGTAATTTCATGAAGTATGAAGCCACTAGTTGTGGTAATGCAATTCCCTAAGCATAATTGTATAATCCTACTAAGGCAAATTTTCTTTAATTTGACCTGATGATTTCATGGTTATATCCATATGGATGTCTGGGCAGAAGAATAGAAATGATTGGCCATTGGTTTTCTCCAGGATGCTTTGGTTTGGTTTGTTTTCATTTTCTAACCCAGTTTACAACCATAGGATTTCCTGATGGTCACCTGTCTTAGTAAATAACAGATAACAGAGTAACAGAATTGGAAGGGACCTTGGAGGTCTTCTAGTCCAACCCCTTGCTCAGGCAGAAATATTATTTTTTTTCGTGTTAAACTTTACAAATTTGTTTTTTTAAAAAAACTAGAAAGTGAATATTCTGATTTTACTTAATTTCTTGACATTAGCCAACAGTCCCTAGAAGCTGCAACCCAATAATTAGAGATTTAATATCTTATAGTTGATTAGATTTAGACTGCATAATAGCAACCATAGATGTAATACATTATATGAACACAGGCATTGGCTCTATCTACATACCTAATATACAAAGCTATAACTTTTGGATAATTAGTGTAAACTGTCATATTGCTCCCTGTTGTGCACATCTTGGTGTTTCTAGACAAGATAGCAAAATGTTTTGATCCATGCAATACCATACATTGCAAAAAGTCAGGTAAAGACTTTCATGCAGCTGGGGATAGTATGGAGGGATTCATCTGAACTTTACAATGTAGCATGCATCATGTGAACATAGTCATGGTTAACTTGCAATTGGGTGGCTGGTGTCTCAGTGTATTGTACAAATTAGGTTAATATAGTCCATCGCAGTGGATAAACACAGCTGTTATGTTCAAAACAGTGTCTTCTCAGAATACTAAATGTACAATACATAATACATTTTCAGTTGATTTCTACTTTTAATTTAGTACTGCTGCATATTAAAAAAGCTGATATAAATTTCCTATAAGAATTTAAGGGGATCTAAATTGTGGAAGTGCCCAGTGGAGATGAAGCACACTCAGTAGCCACAGATTAAAAAGAGAGGGAAAATTGAATGGATGGCAAACAGCGAGGGACCCTTGAAAAGGAAGGTATGGTAAATAAGACTTCACAATTTCCTGCCAGCCAACTTAAGAATGCCTGAAGCACAGAAGGGAGACAAGAGGAAATTGCTGGAGTTCCCCTCTTTTGGTTGTTTCGTGATCCTTAAAGAAATGAAGAGTAAAAATGGGTAAAAATATACCTAGACACCTTTGTGTTGGAAAGAGTAGCTGTGATGACCCAGAGTGTAACACAAATGTAACAAAATCCAAAACATGATTAAATGTCCTTTAATGCCTCCAACTTGGCCCCACTGTTCAATAATACTCAGTTGGAGATAAAACATACTCAAAAATAGTCTTCAAAAGAAAGCAATACAGTCCAAATTTAATGAGCAGATAGAGGTGAAATAAAAAACCAAACAAACTACAATGACAAAATGTCCACAACAGAACAGGAAAAGTATTTACCAAATTCAGGGAGATAACAAGGCACAGTCTGTCAGAAGGACACCAACCAAGATAACTTCAGACCAAAATAAAACATGCTTTGCTTCTGGCAACCTGTGTTTTAACCGTCTCTCTTATATACTCGTCTCCCCAGCTGCAACCAATGAGGATCATTGCTGCTTCCTCTCTCTCAAAGTTGTTGCCTTCTCCATTCCTCCTTGTGTGTCCTAGGATGCAGAGGGGATGGGCCTGGTTCTTCCTCTGACTGCCCAGCCAGCCTCAGCCCTTCCCCAGCCTCATCCACAATTTTCGGAGCCACACCTCCACTCCCTGTTGGCTGTTCCTTCTCCTCTCCCTCAGAGTCCAACTCTGCCAAGGGCCTGACAGTAGAGCTTAAACATTGCAAAAATCACACTTTGCCAGACACTAAGTTTCTAGGGACAGTTTACCTATTACTTTTATCCTTCCCCTCTCCTCCCTTAGGTGCAGAAAAGGGATGGGGGTTTGGCTAAGTTCTTGGTTTATCTCATGCATGATCCCTATGGAAGGGGGCCTAAAGATGCTTTGTTTAGGTTTTGGCTGAGCGTGATGTGACAGTTTATGCAAATAGCAACAAACCAAGATTGGCAAGTGCTCTACAAAGGGATTTATCTGGAGTTCTCATTTAACATGAAGTGCTTTTGAAGATAGTTTTGCAAGTGTTGTGCGTTCTATAGTCGCCCATTTGCCCTGTATGGTAGTTTGGAAGGGACTCTGGCTGAGAGACATCTTATGCTCATGAAGTGTAGTTCTGATCAGAATGCCATCCTTAAACTTCTTACAACATTAAAGAACGTAGGGAGATAGAACCTAGAGGTTTCTCCCCAAAATGGCTGCTAAGAAGCAGCAGCATAGGAGTGCCAGTGTGGCAAACTGGATTGAGTGCTTAGGACCAAGCAAAATTCAAATCCACACTTAATTATAAAGATCACTGATGGCTGTGAAGCAATTGTTCCATCTTAGTTAAGGTTCTCTTATTTTAAGGAGAAAATCATGTGTCTGCAGCCTCATGTTTTTGGAAAGAGCTGAATGTGTTATAAAAAAATGGCAGACAAACAGTTGGAGATACTTTTGTAACATACTTTATTTCCAATTTTATTAAAACATTTGAATAAAACATTTTTAAAAAATTTAAATGTTTAAAAGAATTGTCTTGAATTTAAAAAAAAAAATTGTCCTGATTTCTTCTTCCAATGGGATCTTCATGATAAAAGCTGGAATAACAGGAGTCAATTAATTTTTAATAATCTCAGAATTCATCCCAAAAGATGAGCCTTTTTTTGTGGCTTGTTATAATTAACTTAAATGGCCTTCATAATGGCCAAAACATTTTTTAAAGTGCCATCTCCCCAGAGAAATATCTAGCTTTTACAATTACTCATTAGCAATGAAACTTGTTTGCTTCTGTGGGTATGTAGGCCTTAAACAATCTGCACCTCAGTCTGTCTCAAGGAAACCATGATTTATAAATCACACTGGATTGGCTGGAACATCTTAAGCTAAAAATTAGAAATTCTGTAATAGATTATTGAATTCTATAATACAGTACCGTTGAAGTTGTAGCTTCTACTTTTTCTTTTCAGAATAGCTACCAGGAAGAAAAATATGAGCATCAATAATTATGTATGTCTTAAATTAGCTTCTTCTAACATTCTTTCTCTAATATTAAAAAGAATCAAATGGACTTAAACCGTTCTCCAAATAACAATAGAGCAGCTTTCATTCATGCAAACAACAGGGCTGGAAGGATACAGTGCTGGTTTCCATTCTTTAATTTGTAGGGAAGACTAGATAAGCAATTCCTTCTTCCAAAATAGAAATTGACTCTAGGATAACTGATATACTATTCTATGAAGAATTCCCTACCAGAGTCAATAGGAAAAAAAAAACAATATCCAGAGATTGCGAGAAGATATATTTGATATATTATAGGTGTGTTTAATAACATTTATATATATTTGATAACTTCATTATAGACCAATTCTTCAAAACAACTATCCAAAGGAGACTGATATCTGCCAATACCGACTCTTGCCTTGTTTCTGCTACAATGCATTTTATATGCAGTTGCATTTGTAGACAACTCAGAAACTATATGTATCTTGTCTAAGCAAAAGCATTTTTAGTATGCAACTGCACCCATTGTAGTATTGTACTATGCTTACTCTCCCCCCCGCCCCATAATATGGCTTATTACATAGCTCTTCTACACCATTAAATACACCTCTTTGACATAAAAAGGTGATAGTCCCAGATTTAAGAATTGTTATTGCATCATTTGATATACCATTTTGATGCTGAATTAACAGGTGAAATAACAGGCAATGCAGTTATTCTGCAGACTCACCTTTTCCCAAAAACAAAAAGAGGAGCAGGACATTTATCAGCATCTTTAAAAAAAGAACAGTAGTAAACAAGTGTTAGATGCTGTTTGCATAATTACATAGCTGGGAAGCTCTTTTTTCCCCCCACGAAGCTGTCAAGTTGATAAGACATGAACTACATACTCTCATGGGATAGTTATGCTTAACAGCACTGTTAAACAAAATTATTTTACCAAAGAATCAAAAGCATTCTAGATACACACACAAAAATATCGTTTGGCTCCTACCCATTGGTTCAGAATCTAAGAATCAGGAAAAGCCTAAGCAAAAAGAAAAGGAAAAAAAGCAAGTAAAATACTCAAGCTCCAGGCAGGAGAAAGATGGGAGTGGAGTTACACTAAGTCTCAGGTCTACTTAAAGCTCTTTCTTAAACTATTGTTCTTCTCTCAGTGATGAGTAACCTTGCTATTCTTCTTATCATCTAGGGCAGCACACCTGCATGTGGTTTTGAACATTTTTCTCAACAAAGGCTCCTAAGGACAACGCTAAACTTCAATGGAGCATCCCAGATAAATATGTAAAGGAAGCCCTCAAGTTTTCATATTATCTAAATTTGCCTCAATGGTTGCAATTCAAAAGTGGAAAAAGACCTAATCATCAGGAGGAACACCTAATCATTTTGAGAAAGAGATCTGGTTCCTTAAATCTGTTTTAAGCCGGGGTTTCCAAGAGGGAAGGAGTTACTGCTTAGTTGTAAAAAATAATAATTGCATTCAGTTCAATTATAATGTGTTGCAATTTGGAAAATTTGCCTAGAGCTATGGTGCTATATTCTGGAAATAAAAACTCACCAGCTTCCCAGTCTTCCTGCGAAGGTGAGCATTGCACACCAGTTTCCTCTTTGATTCCCATGTTTAGATTGGTAGCCCCTGCAATCAAAATGTACAGAAACGGTGATATTGATATTGAATAGTTATGAACAGTTACGCACAGTGATATTTAGTTCCAGGGCTGAGTGTATCTCTTTAAGACATTACAATTCATGTTTGTGAATTTACATCGAGATATTGAAATTCAAACAACTCTGTTGCAAGGCAGAGCAAAGGGTAAGATCCTGGTCTCTGATAACAGATCAGATCTGATAACCAGTATCTTTATTAGCTTTTAAAACAAGCTCTTGAAATTTCGCCTAGGCTTTTAACTGCAGACCACAATTGTTAATTTTAATTGTCATTAAATGTTTTGAACGTTGATTTTAAATCTACGTTTCATTTCAAACTGCCAGGAGACTTTGGTAGCTGCTGCTCTATCAAATTAAATGAATAAAAATAAAAAGGAGTCGTTTTGTGAGAAAGAACTTGCTTTGGCATAAAATATGAAAATTAATGGAAGCTCTCCATTGTCTCAGGTGAGTTCCCTTCTTAAATACATAATTTTTTTTATTATTTACTGAGAGAGGAAAGGGGAACAGAAGAACAGCTACTTTTTGTACAGCAGATAATTTCAGACACATCTAAGTCAGGCAGTCAACATGGGAATTGGACCATTAATTTTTTCAGGACCAAAGGTACAGTACTGCCCACTTTATTGCTTCATGTCCAAGTTCAAAATATGTTAATATATTAAAGAACAGAGGGGAATTACACCCTTTTCCAGAATGGTCCTGTACTTACTCTACTTCATAATAGTGTATTTTGTATTCTTTGTTCAGGAAAATCTAATTTTATGGCATGTACAGAAATATACAAAGTGGTCATCTTTCTCTGTTTGAAAAGTTCATTGAACCTCCCATGTTTTCTTGTAGACTCCCATATGCCAAGATTTATATGTAACTATTGTAATCTTCACTTATTTGACTGCATTGTATGTCAGTCATGATAGCTTTTCGATCTCCTTACTTGCAATGTCTAATTTTTTAAACGAATGAACTTTCAATCATTTTAAAAAATATCATTTTCAAAGCCATATTGCTTACTATAAATTAATTTCTTCTCTTTGCACCTTATTTTATAACCATTTGAATATTCCGTATATATTTATTTGGTTGAAATATTGGGATGCTGATTTCTGTAGCCAGCATAACTCTCAGCTTAATTCACAATTTTTTAAACAACATAACCTATTACACCATGCAAGAGTCATAGTGAGCATTCAAGCAGAAAAAAGAATCAAACTCTTACCGTTGGACACATCCAGAGCAATTTTATTCTCACAATTTTCAAGATGGGAATTGAATTCTTCCTTGGGAATTCTATGGCGAGCATTATAGGGGCATGTTGCTAGTTTTCTAGCGATCTTCCCATTGTTCTAGGCAAAAGAACAAAACCCAAGAGATTATTATAATGTAGAAATTATAGCCATCTTCAAAATCCTGTCATCAGTGATACTGCAGGAAAGATGTTGAAATACAAAAGATACATCAGAAAGGGAATTGTCAATCCATTTTTTTTAAACCTGGAGGACCCCTTACAGTGCCACTAATATCTCAAGAGTGGAAAATTAAGGGATTTAGTAATCTTTTGACACTTAACACAATTTCATAAGAAGCAATGGCATATGGAACATGAAAATAGATCTTGGCAAAGGTAAATTTCAAGATTAAAAAAAACACCATAGTTTAGAAAAAGGGTTTAAATTAAATCAAAGAATTGACTGTTCCAAGGAAACTATGGGATAGCTATGGCAAGATCACAAAACACCACAAGTATAAGTTTTCCAAATATTTTTCATCCACAATTTCATTGAATAACATTCTGCTTTGGAACCTGCAAAATGCTCTGTGGTAAGCAGTTCTGAGTTTTCAGGAAGTGGTACAATATGGAACAGGTCTGTTTGTATTTTCATTCCACGAATTCACTTGAACAGTTCAACAATGGGGACAGTGTATCTGGTTTCAGAGTTGGAATTTTCTGTAATTAAATGTTTTTTGAACTTCTCTCTTTTTCAGTTTTGTCTAGCTTGGCTTTAAATGTCACACACATTGCCTATTCTGTACTACATTTCATTTTCTCCTTACCTCCTTGCACTTCACCAAGTGATAAGGGAAACGGCTGGCTCTGATCTGATGGTTTTTGTCATAGGGACACTGAACCAGCCGTTCTGGATCCATGAGAGACGTGAGAAGGCTGCTGGGTGGTTGTGCTCCTAAAGATGTTGAAAAATAAATTCCTGAATAGATACTATTAAATAGCAAGGTACACAGGTGCATGTGCTAAGACTCAGTAGAAAGCGTAACAGATAAAAAGAGAGACCCTTTTAATGCCAATACTATGTCCAAAAGCATCCTAATTATTTTTTAAATTGTAGAAATTTAGAAATTTTAGAAACCATGAAACCATGTTATTCAGCAGCCTATAACATGCATTATTACAGTGTCCATTTAAAAAAAGTACAGAGATGAACCTTTGGATTTAATACACCCAGGTTTTATTTAAGAAAGTTGTGGCTGCTTCTGTGCCACTAGGTTGCTGCGGCCATATGATCCTCATTTTGAACATTTAGTGATGTTTTCAGGCATTCAGTTCCTTACTTCCTCCCCCACCCAGTAGTAGCCACTTGCCTACCTGCTGGGAAGGGAAGGTGCAATCTTCCTGGCTGACGCCACCCACTTCCCTGACCCTTGCAGCTTCTTTTGTGCATCCTATGAACCCTCCCTGATTTGCAGCCTCCCATGAACTTTTCTTGACCTATGCATCCTCTGTGACCCGTACAGCACCTCTTACACGCTCCATGATCTCACACATCCTCGACTGGCACTGTGCCCATACCTACCCAACCTAGACAGCACTTCTTGCACACCTCCATGCCCCCTTTCAGACCTCACTTGCATAGCATCTCCTGTGCACATCTGATCACCCTTCCTGATCTGAACAGCACCTCTTGGGCACCCCTGCGTATCATTTTTGACCCACACTCCTGGACATCCCCTCGCTCTCACCCACCTGGTAGCAGCCACTTATCTGCCTGCTGGCCTTGGACATGCAACTTACTGTTATCTTCCCCACTGACTTTCTTCCCACAAGCTTCCCACAAGCAAAGTTAATTAGGAAGCAACAGGATTTCTATGGAGGGAGATATGGAGGAAGGAAAAAAAAATACAATGACAGAAAGGAGGGGGAAAAGGAAGGGAGGGAGAAACTGCAAGGAAGAATTTCCATTGCTTCCTGCCAGTTTCCCATAAGGTCAATGGGCAGGTGGGCAGGAAGTCAGAAGTTGCTCCCACTTCCACTGCTTTTTTGCCCACCTGTGGTCATTCTGATTTCTCTGTTTAGATAAGAAAATATCCCCAAAACAATCCAATGGAGCATAGGTGGCAAATACACTGCTAAAATTCTTGTTCCCACAACCTTCAACTGTGCATCATTGGGGTAACAATTTTTGAACCAAGGTGCCTCAAATTGGCTAACTTAGAGAATATTTTCAAAATATGGGGCCTATGGACTCTCGTAGGATTGAAATTTGGCAAAGTTTATAAAACATTTTGTGATGTAAAAACAATCCTAAAACAGTCAAAAACAATCCTAAAACTTAGTACAAAATATAATAAAACATTTCCTGTGCTGTTTCACTGTGTTCAGCTTTGGCTCTTTTTAAGACAGATGCATCTCTGTTTCACAACTTTTCCAGTAAAGACTGTATATTAGATGATCCCTCATTGTTGAAGACATTGAAGAAACTGGTAAGGAAATGATGACAACCCAACAGGGCATGAGTTGTCTAATGAGGTCTAAGCCTATTAAATGGATGGTTTACAAACTGCACTGATATTGATTTTAAATAGTTTGTTGAATAAGCCATAATAGGCTGGATTTATATATTGTGCTAAGCCATGTTTGTCCATATATTAATCTGACTATATAAATATGTCAAAACTGTTGGGATTGGTTCAGTTGGTTCATTTCTGGTTCACTAAATTAGAAATAAAAGCATGGTTTATAAAGTATAATGGCTTTGCTCACATTGCAAGCTAAACCATGTTTGATATTGATTTAAATGGCAGTGAAATCAGTATTCTATCATATCTTTTTATTTGTTTAAAAAACTAATGCAAGTGGAGTGAATTAGAAATTCCCCACAAGATTTTTCCAAAGCTACTTTTTTTGGGGGGGGGAGAGGGGGGAGGATGCTATGCATTTTTTTGACTATGTTTGCACAAATCAGCTAATCTGCAGTTTTTTGGTTAATTAACCCTTGCTCTGGGTTTACAATATATATCTAGCCAACTATACATTTCATATATTCCATAAGTCAAATGGGGGAAGTATATATTGTGGTTTATAAACCACAATTAATACCTTAGTTTGAAGGTATTGATCAAACAATGTTTAACTCAACTAACTAGATTTAAACAAATTTTATATTAGCAGAATGTAAGCCACATCATGGCTTACAAAACACATTGGTTACAGTCTGATTTTTTTTTTTAGGATGTTGGGTGAACATAGCCATTAGGTTCCTTCACAGATCCGAATCAAACTAGACGTATTTATTTTTTTCATTCCATAATGTGTAAGGGGTGTTATTATTGTGTTGTAAAAACACAATTTTGTTTTATTCAACAAACAGGCTTAGTACGATAGATGAAACCCAGTCACAAACTTTTACTGTATAATTAAAGCAGTAATAAAGAACAAAGGACTTACTGCGCGTTCCTGCTTTCCAGCTTATTCCTCCAGACTGTTAACTGAAAAACAAAAAGCTAAGTTCTCACATGTGGGGGGGGGAAAAGGAGGGGGCATTTCATATTGACTTTTATTTATTCAACTTGTATACCCACCCATCTCAAACAGGTGACTCTGGCAGACAAAATAATTAAAACACAAATAAAAAAGAAATTAAATACAAATATCAACCAAGAGATAACTGTTGGTGTCAACATAGCCAGGGAATATAGCCATTCACCCACTTGGCACTCCAGGCCTGGACACATAATCACATCTTCAAGGTCTTCCGAAGGCCAAGTTAATCTCAGAGAGACACAGCAGAAAAAACATACCATCTGGCCCCACCAGCCAAATTTCTTTGGCCGGCAGGATCCATAGCATGCCTGTCCTGCAAGACCAGATTAAACAGGTAAAAGCAACTGGAAGAAAGTTGTCCCTCAAGTAACCAAATACCACCCCCAAAGCAGCAGCCTTGTGTGCCAAATCACTAACCTGTGTATCACACGACTTGAAGCTTCTGAATGCTCTTCAAGGACAGGCCTATTTTATAAAGTAGCTGGCCATTAATGGAAACACCTGCCTTTCTCTCTGCTCATTTGCGCTAATTGCCTTTGTCTTTATCAGGGCAAAGAGTTACAGCTAAACAATTGCCTAAATTCAAATGAAACAGGTTTGCCCTAATAGCAGCTGAAATGTAGAGTGAACCAATGATGGGAAACATGATGGGAAACTTTCTTGAAGAACTTTCTGACATCATTGTGTCCAAGGAAACCATTGTATTACAAAAGGTGGGGGTCTAAAATTGCAAGCACCCTTATCTATCTTTAAAAAGCATTGTGGATACTTCAAAAATCATGTGAAGAAGTTTCTCAACTACAGAATAATAGTGATAGATATCATACTTGTTAATAGTTGTTAAATAGTTCCTTTCTCACTAAATGCTAAATACCTAACAATGTGGTTGACTAATTTGTGACCCAGTAATCTAGTTGATGGTTCAAGATTGAGCAAACCCAGGCAATTTAATTAAGTAATCCATGGATCAATTAACTATGGATTGTTTTGCAAACACAACCACTAGCTTGTTTCATGATTTGCTCTTCCCTCAAAATTTCATGTTCATTTTGACTCAGTGTTTGCCCAGGGTTAGTACTATAAATCAAGCTAAGAGATTCAAAACTCTGGCTGTGAGGAACAAGGTTTTTTTTAATGCACTAGGAAGAGACTCATAGTTGGGAAAAGGATCCCAGTTTGAAGAAAAGCAGGATACCTTGTTTGACGTGTACAGCAAGAATAACTTCCAAGCTAAGATTGGCAGACATCCCACCTCAACTCTTTCCATTTGTATTGCTGATTAATGGTTCTGGGTAAAGCAGGGGCAGAGATAGTAAAGAGAGTACATCTGTTTAGAGTAATGTTGTCAGAGCCATGAACTTATCTGTTTGTTCATTAGTACAATTGGCATAACATAAGGACATGTGTGCTCTTCTTTGAAACCTCTTGTGATAATCAAAAGGAGCCTGAGAAAGCTTTCTGACAACTCTCTTGTTCAAGTCAGTGGAAAAAAACTATTATAGCAATTTGGGTTCCTGGTTTGCAGTCTCCATCTAACCTTGAAGGAGAAAGCTTGAAATGGGGGAAACCTCTCTGTTTTCTTTTGTAACTCTATACTTGGTTTCATAACCTTTAGATTTGGTTTGAGCTGGTTGTGCTACGAGTCAATTGTTGATCCTGATGACTTCAAGACAATGTTGATCACTGCTAGCTACCTGGACTAGTCCGACAATTTTCTTGGCAAACTTGGCTCTCTTATACAATTTAGCAGTAGGTGTTTAGTTATTAGAGAACCCATTTGTTATACTATAGTGATTAAGGTGCAAGGCTAAAAACCAGGAAGCCATGGTTTTTAGTCCCATTTAAGCACAAAGCCAGCTGGGTGAACTTGGGCCAGCCACTCAGCCCTAGAAAAGAGGCATTAGCAAACCACGTCTGAAAAACATTGGCAAGAAACTTCAGGGGCTGGATCAGGTAGTCGCTAGTTGTCAATGTTAACTTGAAGGCACAAAAAAGTCATGGACCTAGTGATTGTATTCCCATGACATAGTCCTGGTACCTAAATACAGGAAGTCCTCAACTTACAACCACAACTGAGCCCAGAATTTATGTTGCTAAGTGAGAAATTTGTTAAGCAAGTTTTGCCCCCATTCTATGACTTTTCTTGCCATCTTTGTTACCTGAATCACTGCAGTTGTTAAATCAGTAACACCGTTGTTAAGTGAATCTGGCTTCCCCATCAACTTTGCTTGTCAGAAGGTCGCAAAAGGGGATCCCATGACCTTGGGGGACACGGCAACCAACGGTAATATGAACTAGTTGTCAAGCATCCAAATGTAAATCATGGGGATGCTTTAATGTGCAACGGCCATAAGTGTGAAAAATGGTCATAGGTCACTTTTTTTTAGTGCTGTTGTGACTTTGAATGGTCACTAAATGAACTGTTGTAAGTCGAGTGTTTATTCATTTAACCCATGGACGTCAGGGATGGATGTTCACGGTGGTATCCCCTGTACAACGAGGTGGGTTCACAAGGCTCAAATGCGACTGACTAGACTGTGGTTCATTATGTCATATTATAGGAACAGAGCAGTACTAAGTAACAAGCTAGGCAGAAGTGAAAGAAGCTGCTTAACTGCAGGAAAGGTTAACAATGTGCCTTTGCCTCAGTCAGAAGTGCTCTGCTCATTGAGCAGCCTGGTTACAGGAAGTCCCAGCCTTATAGGGGAAGCTGCATTCTCCACTGCTAGAAGAGGAAGCATTGCGGTGAAGTCTGCATGATAAGCTGAAAGCCCGAAGAGCAAGTTGTGCCACAAGAGTTGTGTGCTAGGTGTGGCCTGCTTTTGAATTTCTCCCCTCATCGAGTCTGAAGCCCCAAGGGGCACTGCTGATTCCTTGGGAAGATGTCCCTGTCCTCCGTGTACGAGCACAAATTTGCTGAGAAGCTGACAATTCTTAATGACAGGGGCAAGGGGGTGCTCATCCGCATATATAACATCAAGAAGGTAGGCGCTGATGTGCCCCCGGGGCAGGTCGTTCTGTTCTCCGGTCAAAGAGATTTCCAGTTGATCCTAAGGAAGGAATAAGGTAGTGTCTGGGATCTATAAAGTGTGGGTGTATCTATCTGACTGGAGCCTTTCTCTATTTTGTTCTCTTTCTGGCTTACAGCAAAGGTGGGAGGCCCAAGTAGCTATAGAGAAGATCTGTTCAACCTGGTTTGATGAAACTGGTGGATAGAGAAAAAAATAAGGCAGCCTACAACTACCACCCAGAAACACTAGCTGAAAGAAAGATTAAGAGATGAATGGTTCTTACATAGCAGGTATATGGAAGTCTCGATAAAGGCCCGGGAGCACTTTTTGTTTTTAATTGAGTGATTCTTAGGTGATGCTTTAGAAGAAAATAGTTTGATTTCCTCTCCCTTGCCAATCTGCAGCTTTATTGTAATTTTCTCCAGCTTCAGACTTGCTTTCCTTCCTGTATCCTATCCTAACCCTTCTTCTAGACCAGGAAGAATATCATTTTTATTATTTAAGTAGTTCATGATTAAAGTAATTCATTATTTAAGTAATTCATTAATGTGATTTGGTGTGCTCACAATATATTACACTAAATGTGATTTGGAGTGCTTTGAGAATCCAATGATTAGTTTATGGTTCATTGTGTTGTGTGTAGCACAAACTTAGACTGTTGGATCAATGCTGTAAATCATTGGTTAATCTGTTGCACATAATCCTTTTGCAGACATTTTCTTCCTCCCTTTCTAGTAGCTCAGACGATGTTGGTTAAAACATCACATTGATAAAATTTTGGTTTAGTGCGGAGGTGGAGATCTGTGGCCCCTTTATGATTTATGGGCTTCAACTCACATAATTTGAGCCAGCATGACTCAAAGTCATAAGTCATAAAAGGGCCATAGCTCCACACCCTGGTTTAGTGTTTTGTTAGTGCTTATGTTTCTTTTTAACATAAAACATGGATGGGGCTGTTAATCCAGCCAATTGTGGTTTACACAAATTATGGCTTAATGCAATGTGTGAACCTAGTTTGTGGTTTTAGCATGCTGCTTTTTCTAAGCTGCCTTTAATGGCTACATTCTATTGTGGCCTAATGTTCCCTCTATCCAAGCAGGGACTGTTTCTCGCTTATGATTTCTATAATGCTCAGTGACAGAATTAAGATTATCTTTTAAAAGCAGAGGACAGTGTGCTAGGACTTTCAAATGTTTCACGCATATCCCAAATTTCTTCAGAACAGCCTAAAAGCTTGACAGGGGATTTTCCATCTTAACAAAAGTCCTGTGAGCTAAATTTAGGGCAGCCTTCCCTCCCCAAATATGATATCATCCACATTTTGGAAGTTGTAAAGCTTCCCCGAGAAAAGGAAACTGACCACAAGTTGACTATGGATATTTGGACCAAATGAGGATTTAAGCTAATATGCCTTTGGAAACACCATCCCTTCAACTGCTAAGCACTATACCTTATTCTTAGCTGCTATAATTAATAGTGATTGAAGAAGGCTTTAAGAGGAAGGAAAGAAACAGCAGCTTCAGAGTAATTCAGATCAACAGACAAGAAGCCAGTAGAAGTAGTTGGTTCCTCTTCCTGTTTGAAACTGTTGGGGGAGGGCGGTGACACCTTATGCAAATTAGATCCTGCCCATTCCCATTGCTGGCTACAGACCATATTTTGATAGCGATCATAATCTTTCCTTGTGCCATAGCAATTATCTCCCATTGTACTAAGGGGCAATATGCAATTCTTAATACAGTTAAGAATTTTTGGGAGCTATATATGCTACTAGTTCTTGTTTCTATCTATAGTTTGCTATCTGATTGTGGTCAGTGTTGCTCAAAGTATAACTTACGGCTCACGCATCATCTCACTAGTGTCCTTTTGTAGCCTTCAGGGTGGGTAGGGCTTCTTTTGATTCTCTTTTAGGGTTTTTTTTTAACTTTACTGGTGATTTAGGGGCCAACTGGATGCTTAAGCCTCACTTTAAGGCAGGGGTCTTCAAACTTGACAGCTTTAAGACTTGTGGACTTCTTTTTTTTTAAAAAAAAAAATTGAAATAAACTTTATTTACAAAAAATTAAAAAAGCACAAACATACAATCATACAGAAATAAAAAAATGTGTAAATAGAATAATAAACATATTTCTGTTACATTTGATAATAGATTTGATAGTTCATAATAAACAATAATAAATAATAATTGGCAAGACTTGTGGACTTCAACTCCCACAATTCTTCCTCCAGTCATGTTAGCTCAAGAATTCTGGGAGTTGAAGTCCACAAGTCTTTTTTTTTTTTTTTTGTAAATTTTATTTGGGTTTTCACAAAAAGAAAAGAAACACAATTAAAACATCTTTTTTGAAAGCAGCATAATCCCGGGTTACATTTCTTCGTGCAGACACAATTTCAGGTTCATGCTCATTTTTATATTCTATTCCATATCTTATTACAATTTTACATTTTCTACATAGCTTCTCCCCTCTTTTAATTTCCTCAATTTTATTATATTTATTTCATCTCAATTCAAATCATTATATTTATATTTTTTGTCTGTCCTGTTTCAATTGTCTATTATCTTTTCTCATTAAACAAAATTTCTCCTGTAGTTACTGATTGGAGTATGACGCTTTTATATTTTCCCCTAAAGTTATAACACTCAATATAATACATAACTTCCATTCGGATTCTGCTTGGTACATTCTAAAACTACACACAATATTCTTTAAAAAAAAAGAAAAAATTATAAATGTATATAATTAAAACAACATTCCATTCCAATTCAATTCTATCAATATTAAAATTCATTTAAGTCTTAAGATTTTTCACGTTACTTTTCAATTAAATATCATACCTCTATGGGAACAATTATTAGCTTTCCATAATCAATTCCCCCCCTCTTCACTTATATTTTATAAAACATTAACTAATTTAAGTGTTCCCATTCCTTCCTAATTCAATTTTCTCATTTATTTTATTTCATTTACTTTATTCACAAACATTTCACTAAGTTACACTAACCATTCTATCCCTCATTCTAATCATATGTTGTTCCCAATTTTCTAAAGTTATTTCTATTTCAAATATAACAACACAATCTCATGTACCTTTACAGAATCCCCCTTTCAGTTAAATTTTTACCCATTATCTCTAAATAGGTCCTGTTTCTTTATATCTTGCTCCGGACCTTTGTGACTTCTTTTCCTTTCCTTCTTCCCTCTCTTCTTCTCCCTCCCCTTTTTACCCCTTTGTCTCTCTACCTCTACTTCCCTCTTCTGTATTCCCCTTTTCTGTTGTTTTCCAGTATTATACTTATTTTTCGAATTATTTTTCTTTTCTTTGGTTGTTTTTTTAAATCTTAAATTCTCCATCCTCTTTCCCCCCTTTCCTTTTTCTTCACCACATAGAGTTAATTGTTCATTAAAGATGGCTTCTTCTTTGTCCCAGTCTTTTTGTTTTGCAGTCTTTTCTTGTTGTTTCTCATAGTTCCAAATCTCCATTTCTAAGAATTGAAAAACGAAGCCAAAGGAGCCCTTCCCTTCTTGTGCCTCTTCTTTGTACTTTTTAAGTTCCATTTTCAATTCATCAAAAAGTGATGCCATTGTAAAAAAATTTAAACAACCACCCGATTGATTTTAGTCATTCAAATATAATAGCCAAAAATCCAAAAGTCACCAAGTAATCCAAATACACACAAACTGTTTCTTTTTGCTCTTTCTTTTTTTCCCACTTTCTCTTCCTGGGGTTACTATTTGGTTGCAAAGTTTCAGTTAAAATGTATCTTTTAGAAGTCTTATTGAAATTTTATTTTAGATTCTTTTAAAGTCCAGCCAGTCTCCTCCCTCTTCCAGATCCTGCCCTTATTCTTTTTATCTCCCTTCCTGCTTATAGAAGAAAAAGTTTTTAATGTCCAGAAATCTTTATTGTCCCTTTGGCATTTAGTTATATTTTCAGCTTAATTGCCTGTTGATGCCAAAGCGGATTTTTCCAATTTCTTATTCTTAATTGTCAATATAAGGAAGGAGAGAGAAAAAAAAAAAAGCCAAACCTTTCCCTTTTCACTTTCTTTTGCTGCTTCCGACTCTTCTTTGGGAGCGATGTTATTTCTTGTAAAATTTAAATTCCAGGGTACCTTAGTTATTACTTTTTCAACTTAGCCCGGTCAGCCAAAACTTTCACTTCTTATCTTCCTCCTGCACGTTCTTTTCCGGTTGAGTACTTCTTTGAGGTGGCCATTTCTGACCACCGCTCCTACCGCCTTCAGGAAAGGGAGTTTGACCAGCTGAGGAGAAGAGATGCGGCTCTCCTCGACCCTGCTGGCAGTCTCCCCCTTCTTCACCACCTCTATGGGGTGGCTTAGCCCCGAAACCAGCTGGCTCGGGGCGCTCCAGCGGCGAGCCCAGGCAGAAACCGCGCACGATCGCGGATTCCTTTCTGTCGCCGAAGCCCTTCAAACCGGAAGTCTCCGAAGTCCACAAGTCTTAAACATGCCAAGTTTGAAGACCCCTTGCTTTAAGGCATCATTTTTTTTCCATTTAATATTCCTTTACCCCATTCCATTGAATTGGCCATGCAAAATCTGGTGCTGACTTTGAGACAAGAGAAATTATGCACTTTTGTGCTAGAAGGATCAGGATCACACATGTGTCCTGGTTGAGAAGATTTATTGCTCAACCCTGTACACGCAAATCTTGTTAACTAACATATGGCACTAAATTGGTACCAGATAAATAAGGGTCAATGGCATTCAAGAGGGGTTGGACTTGGACTGTTTGTGGGAAAATAGTGACTCTAGGCTCATGACTCACTTAACTCCACCCCTCCCAACTCTGATTGCCCTTCTACATCTGCTGTGGTTTAATATATTGTCATATGGAGATGGAGAGGCAGAGAGAATTTTAGGATGCTAGGAAACTACTAAGGATCTAACTGTAGTTTCATTTGCTTGTAGGCTACTGCTCCACTAATGTTATGATTGTAAATAAAACAACTGATAGATGTTTTCAATCTCCATTGATCCCCTCACCTGGAGGGAAGTTAAGCTTAATGTGCTATTTCTGAAGCATTTCTAATGCTTTTGAGGAGTGTGTAATGGTGTCCCCTGTGACACATATGATTTTGCTGTTGGTTTGAACAACACATATGGAGGGGCCCCAGCTTGAGAAAGGCTGCATTTAGAGTACCAGTTTGGAGGATGTCATTTTAATGGGTTGATTCATGATCTTCTATTAAGCTAATACCTTTAAAAGGGACTCATTTGCCTGCACTTGGTAATAATTGACCAATGACATTGAGGCAGCTTGTTCCATTTCCATCAAACCATCACAACCTCAAAGCTAAGGGAAAAACTAAGGGAAAAAAAAATACAAAGCTGGCTTTTTTTTTTTTTTTTGGTTCCCTCCACCTTGCTCAATTAACCATTGAAAATGAATAAAGAACCATTCAAATGAACACAGCTGGAGAGAAGGAAGAATGTCCTGACAGCAAAGACGGATCAGTCCCCTGAAAATCTGTTTATCTATTGCTTTTCCTGGCAAATGACAATGTTCATTCCCATGTGGGTTTTTTTTTTTGTATGTGTGGTGTGTTCTGCCATTTCTCATTTTCATTTTTAAGGGAAGAAAGAGATAGCTGCATGCTGCAGTGAGTGTGAGATTATGAAAAGCCTAATAATTATGCACATAAACAAAATGCAGTTTTGACTTGGCTTTGTTATCTTTGCAGACATGCACGGATTCCCAGACCAGGCTTCCTTTCCTTACGGAGAAGGCAATGGAGTCCTCTATCAAATATATCAACAAAAAGTTTCCCAATTTGGACACACGGAGCAGCACGGTGGGACCCTGAGTTAAAAGCAGGGTAGAGAGTTGAACAAGTTATCCTCTTGGAAAAGAGAGACACTTCCCTGGAGATTCTCAGTCATCCAGGTCACGGTGGTCCCAAAAGTGCTTTTTCAAAAGGCAGCTGGATTTTGTTTTTCCCTTGAAGACGTTTCGCTCCTCATCCAAGAAGCGTCAGAGCTGAAGAAGCTTTTTGGATGGAAGCGAAACATCTTCAACGAAAAAACAAAGTCCAGTTGCCTTTTGAAAAAAAAGCACTTTGGCGGCTTCCCTGGAACTGCTATTCTAGTTTCAGTCAGAGCAATTTCTTTCTGCAGAAAACTGCTACCTTCCTAACTCTGTTTTAGTAACCGAGTTTTTACTCCCAAAGTTGGTCTTACAGAAGTGAAAAGGGACAACCAATATTAGCTGTTTTGTTTTCTTGTAATATATTTCTAAATCATATTCAATAATCCAGTATTGCCTAGCTCTAATCAAACTTAAACTTAACTTCAAAGAATTTTTTTGTGTTATTATTTCAAAAGCAAGTGTAAAAATACATTAATTTTGAAATACTCTAGTACAAAAAAATAAGATTCCGGAAGAGCAAGGAGTTCTTTATCTATTATGATTGCTCTTTGCATTAAGCGGGGGTCTCCAAGCTACGGGCCTCAGTCCACGACCGGGCCACAGCCCATTTGGAACTGGGCCATGAAAGTGGCGGGTTAGAGCAGTGGTCACCAACCAGTGGGCCAGGGACCACTGGTGGTCCACGAGAAAATTTTGGTGGGCCACAGAGAAATGTCACCCCTAAAGCACTCCCCAAAGCAATTAATCCAGGTTGTGTGGGAATACAAGGCTGCGCTGCCCACATGGCCTGTGGGAACACAAGGCTTGCGTCGCTTGCATTGCGAACAACACGAGGTAGTGAGGGGAGGGGGGAAGGGCAGAGGGGGAGGAAACTTGCCCCACTCGCTCCACGCGGCCTCTTTCTTCTGCTTTCGGTTGCCTGCAAAGAAAGCAGCAAAAGTCTTTCTTTGTCTCCCCCAAACTCTGCCAGAAATGAGTCTTTGGGACCCTGCAAGGCATCCTGCTCTAAGAGGCTGCGCCAATGTGAGAAAGACTCATTTCTGGCAGAGTTTGGGGGAGAGAAAGAAAGACTTCTGCTGCTTTTGCTGCTTTCCTTGCATGAAGCCAAAAGTCTCTCTCTCTCCCCCCCCCCCCACCGAGAACAGAGCTGGAGCCGGTATCCTGCGATCCCAAATAAAGAATGATCAATCTGTAGGAAAACTGGGTGGGGAATTTTCCTGCAGACTTTTTGGGGGATTTTCCCAGGGTTTTTGGTCCACGGGATTTAAAATTATGAGTTCGGTGGTCCCCGAGGTCAAAAAGGTTGGCGACCCCTGGGTTAGAGTGTGCGCACATGTGCCCTTCCATTTGTATGAGTGATGGGCACACCCCATTTGCACAAATGGAGCTGTGCATGCTTTTACTTATACCTGTCACTTGCACAGAATTATTCCCTTTCTCCCCCCCCCCCCGTCACTGATTCACCAAGCAAGAAAGCTTGGGGAGTACTGCCTTAAGTGGCAAAAAATGGAGTTATATTAAGGCTTACCTATCCCCTTATGCCTGCTTTTCCCCCCTCTTACAGCAACACTTGGGTCCGGTACACAAAGAGAAAGCAGATATTTTTCGGACAGTCACTGCCTATTATCAGACCTTTGTGGATGTAATGGAATTCCGGGTGAGTGTTAAGCCAGAGTTTGACACATGTTGTGTGAAGTCGAGCCTTTTACATTTGCTCTGTTTTAATTAGGAGAGAACTTTTGTTTTATGTAAACAAGTTTATGGAGAAAAAGAAAACACAGTAAGCAGTTTTTCTCACTCTTGTGTTGCACTTAAAGACATAATGGCATGTATCAACGGTGTCCATCCTATTTTAGGAATCCTAATGAGTCTTAAACTATCTTTCCGATTAGTAGGTAAATTGTATTTGGAACATGAGTGGACACTATTTTGTTTTAATGTGCTGCAATACTCTCCTTTCTTTGGAAATAAGTCCATTGCACTGACTTCTCACAAAATTAATCTTGGATTGTATTGATAATATTTTTTGAGTTTATGGGGATTGCCTTCAAGTAGTATGACATGGATTCTGTTGTAGAAAATAGCAAGAGCACTTAGACTTATATGCTACTTCATAATGCTTTAGAGCCCTCTCTAAGCGGTTTGCAGAGTCAGCATGTTGCTGCCAACAATCTGGATCCTCATTTACCAACTTCATAAAGATGGAAGGCTGAGTCCACCTTGAACTGGTGAGAATCGAACTCCTGGCAGTTGGCAGAATTAGCCTCCAATACTGCATTCTAACCACTGCACCATCACAGCTCTTATAGCAGAAATACTGCCATTCGTGTTAGTTAGGTGCCCCCCCCATATTAATGAATGATGGGAACAAGGAGAGAGAATCAAGTCCTCTGCTTTCATTCAAGAGATGGCAGAATTTTATAAACTTGAGCTTAATGTGTATGGTCCAAACTAAATCAGTTACAATGACTGTAGTGTATTTAAATAGAGACTTCTAGGGCGATGTTCCTATTGGTTAACAAAAGCAACAATACGATTGGTTAGTAACGTTAGTACCTGATTGGCTGCCAATAGCGGCAGGAAGTTTAACTAAATGTCATTGGTTGCGAACCATGGAGCAGCCGCTATAAAAAGGGCTGCTGCGGTTCGACTGCAGTTGAAGTTACTGTTATTATTAAAGAGCTGAATTCAACTCTGGTCTGTCGCGTTGAGCGACCGGTCTGTTGTTTCGATCTTCTGGTTGATTGCTGAATTCCTCTCAGAACGGGACCCTCGCAAGGGTGAGATACAGAGAAGCCCTCGCAAGGGCGAAGTTTGGCAAAAGCAGGACCCTATCCAGGGTGAGTTTGAGCAGCGGAACCCTAGCCAGGGTGATTGAGGGACTCTCGCAAGAGTGATTGCAAAGCTAAAAGAAAAAAGAACACAAGACGAAGATATCTTTAGGTGAGACAGCGCATTGCCTGGGGCAGATGGAATTGTCCCATTTGAGCCTGAGACAGATGGATTGTTCAGGCTGCCAGCTTGCTCTACGCTGTCCTCTTTTATTATGCTGAATCAAAGAAGGGGGGTGAGGGATTACAGAAAGACAAAGAAGTTACAAACTTTATCTTTGAGTCCAGGCTACGTGATACAAGTAACGAACTTTCTGACCGAATACACATCTTTTATCTGACACAGACCTCTGTGTTAATCTTATCAACTTAGCTTCTTCCTGTCAGTTATTTTCCTGTCAGTTTAGTGAACTTTGCTCTGAGAGGTATACGTGCTGAGCAGGATTTCTCTTATGGAAAAATACTGAGACAGAATAGCCACA